CACTGGGATGCTCCTTCCCTAGGTACCACCTTTAAGGAAGAGAAATGTGTCATTACCAGAAGAAAGAGGTGGAAAATCAGCCTGCTGGGCATGACAATCTAGAGGTGCCACAACATACTCCAGGTTTTTTATTTTATAGAGGAGCACGCTGAGGTACAGAGAGATGATATGACTTCTTTAAGGTCACACAGCTAGTTTGACTCAAAATAAAAATGACTACAAGATAATAAGAGCTAATTTCCCCATTATTTTCCTCAAATTTCTATAGGTAGATTAATACCCCTATTACTAAGCTGGTGTTAACCAAATAAAGTTTCTATAAGTGATCAAACCGGAGCACATGAACCAGGTAAAATAGTCAACACATTGGAACTTAGGTTACAACTTAGGAGTCCAGTTTTAAATGAAGGCCAATTTCATTAACCGGTAATTTGACAGATTCTTTGGTTTAATATAAGAATTTATTTTCATTTTAAATTATTCCATACTCATTGTAAAAAATCATTTTTTTTGAGACAGGGTCTCATTCTGTTGCACAGGCTGGAATGCAGTGACACGATCTTGGCTTACTGCAACCTCTGCCTCCAAGGCTCAAGCAATCCTCTTGCCTTGGCCTCCCAAAGTGCTGGGATTACAGGCATGAGTCACTCAACTTTGCTCCAAACTTTTTTTTAAAAACAAACAAAAATGGACTTTCCTCTTTGCATTATTATAGAAGCTGTTCTTTTAGGAGACTTTCTCTAGTTTTTAAAATAACAAAATGACTTTTGCCTATTTGATTGAAAGAGATTTCAAAGATTGGCATGAGTAGAGTTAAGTGGGTATTTTGATACATTGTTGGTGGAACTGTACATTGATTCAGGCTTTCTGGATTGTAATCTGTCATAATTACAATAAATAAATATGCATATACTTTGATTCACAAGTTCAACATCTAGGAATTCATCTTTATCAAATAGTATACACAGATACATGTAAAAATATTTACTACAGCATTTTTATATTTTTATAACAATCTAAGTGCCAAATTTGAGCTGTTAAATTAATTATAGTGTATGCATATAATAGAACACCCAGGAAAGATGAAATGGAGATATATTCACTGACATGGAAAGCTATTAAAGGTAAGCAATGAGGTTGAAAAAACAGCAGCTTATATAATAGTGCAAGAGGAAAGTCTGTTTGTGTTTTTAAAAGAAAGGGGAGCTAGGGTGTTTCAAAGTTCCAAACTATTTTTGCTAAATACAAACCACATTAATGCATTCACTACCAAGGATTAACAACTGTGCAAAATAAGAATTCTTAGTAAACCCCAAAGGACATTTATTTGAAGATCACAAGGATGAAGAACCAGCTTAGATTGCAGGGAATTCTTGGGAGATGGTTTCCCTTGAAACATGGCTAACAGCCTTGAGGTATTCTAATAAATGGGATCTAAGGCCTCAGTACTTAGAAAAGAAGACACCTGGTTAATGACATACCTATATGTGAAGTGAGTCAGGAGGCAGAATGGTCTTAAAAACTGGATGTGCCTGGGCACATACTATATTAGAAATAAAAATAAGTAAGGTGTCCAAAGAGACTAAGCCGTAGTATGATGAGACCAAATTAGGGATATTTCCCTTAATAACTACTCCTTCTGATGTTATCTACTTGGCAGGATCTTCAATACTTTCTCTTTGACAGGCATTAATTTGATGAATGAGGCAAAATAACAGGGAGGCTACTAGTGAAGAATGACCTTCTTCCCAAATTATTCATAGGTAATTAGGAACAACTATTTTTTTTGAAAGATAATCTCCAGAGCAGTGATTCTCAAAGTCAGCTTGCCAATCTGCAGCATTAGCAGATTCTTCGGTCCCATTCCATAACTACTAAATCAGAAACCCTGGGGGTAGGGCCAGAAATCAGTGTTTTAACAAGCCCTGGTGATTCTGCTGCGTTGCTCTTAGGTATGTTCGTAATTAAATTATTTATGTATCTATTGTCAATAAATACAGGCTTTTTTCTTTTACATATTACAGTTAACTTTCTTAAGTTTGGAAAATGTAAGATTATAAAAAGATCACAGAAGATTGTTTAAATACATCTTCCTAAAAAGAATATGGTGCTTTAAAAAGAATTCTGGGTTTGCATTTTGAAGTACATGTTTCAGCAAGGGGTGGGGGCCTGTTTTATGTAAAATGAAATTTCTTCTTCCACATTGAGGATTCCTGCAGTCTTTCACAGATGGAAGCCCTGCATATTTCTGTAGAAATTATGTTTATTCTGAATTTATTTGCCATTTGACTCATCTACCTAGGCTTATCATGACAAAATGTTAATGTTTAGCATTTAACAAAATGTTAAAACAAAAATCACTGAAAAGAGATCAAAACCTTTGATGCAAAGCTTTAAATAGAGCATATTATATTATGCACATGTTGAAAACAATATGATTTTCCTAGGAAAAAGTGTTTGAATAGCATCTTGTTAATTTGTTTCTCTGGATAGGCAGAGAAAGTCTTCCTCCAAAATTTTAAGGAAGGTCTATGTACAACTTTTTAAGAAACTACAAAACTTATCCAAAGTGGTTATACCATCTTGCATGCACTCCAGGATTATGAGAATTTAAATTGCTCCACATCCGGCCAGGTGCGGTGGCTCACATCCATGATTCCAGCACTTTGGAAGGCCGAGGCTGGTGGATCATGGTGTCAGGAGTTTGAGACCAGCCTGGCTGATATAGTGAAACCCCGTCTCTACTAAAAACACAAAAGTTAGCTGGGCGTGGTGGCGCGCACCTGTAGTCCCAGCTGCTTAGAAGGCTGAGAGAGAAGAATCGCTTGAACTCGGGAGGTGAAGATTGCAGTGAGCTGAGATTGTGCCACTGCATTCCAGCCTGGGTGACAGAGTGAGACTCTGTCTCAAAAAAAAAAAAAAAAAATTGCACCACATCCTCACCCACACTTAGCATAGTGATATGGTAGCTTGGTAACCATTAGGTCTCTAGTAGTATCTGATGGTGATTTTAATTTGCATTTTCCTAGTGACTAATGATGTTGATCATCTTTCCATGTGTTTATTTGCCAGTTGTATATCTTCTGATCCAGTCAATCTAGTCTGTATTACAAAAGACACAAACACACATGTACATATAAAGACATGGATCCTTTCTATGGACTGAATTGTGTTGCCTCAAAATTCATATGTTGAAGCCCTAACCCAATGTGACTGTTTAGAGATAGGGTCTATAAAGAGGCAATTAAGGTTAAATGAGGTCCTGAGTAGAACCCTGGTACCAAAGGATTAATGTCCTTGTAATAATCGACCCCAGAGAATGCTATCTTGGTGTCTTTCTCTCCCCCACCCTCCTTATATTTCTCTCTCACCCTCCTTTTCTCCCTCTCTCCTCCCATTCCTCTCCCCTTTCCCTTTCTCTCTGCAAGCACACAAAGATGTCATGTGAGCCCACAGTAAGTTGCAGCCTTCCTTCAAGTCAGGAAGAGAACTCACCAGAAATTGACCATAATGGCACAGTAATCTTCAACTTCCAGGCTCCAGAACTGTGAGAAAATAAATGTCTGTTGTTTAAGCCATCCAGTCTACTGTATTTTGTTATAGCAGCCTGAGCTGACTAATAAAATCATCATAGCAGCTTTATTTGTAACAGTCAAAAACTGGAAACCACCTAAAGGAATGAAAAAACAAATTGTGGTATATACATACAATGGAATATTATTGAACAATAAAAATAAATGAGCTATTTATATTCACAACAGCATGGTTAAATCTCAAAATAATTGTGCCGAGTGAAACCAGACAAAAAGGAGAGTTGACACTGTATGATTCAATTGGTACTAAACTCTAGAAAATGTAGCTAAATGATGGTGACAGAAAGCAGATCTATGGTTGCTTGGGAAGTGAGTCATGGTGAGGAATGGGAGTGAAAGATGACAAAGTGGCCGGGCGCGGTGGCTCACGCCTGTAATCCCAGCACTTTGGGAGGCTGAGGCGGGCGGATCATGAGGTCAGGAGTTCGAGACCAGCCTGGCCAGCATGGTGGAACCTTGTCTCTACTAAAAATGCCCGGCTTGGTGGTGCGCTCCTGTAGTCTCAGCTACTTAGGAGGCTGAGGCAGGAGAAATGTTCGAACCCAGCAGGTGGAGGTTGTAGTGAGGCGAGATCGTGCCACTGCCCTCTAATACAGTGAGACTTGGTCTGGGAAAAAAAAAAAAAAGAAAGAAAGAAAAGTGACAAAGTGCAGGAGGAAACCTTAGGGAGGGATGAAAATGTGTACTAGCTTGATTATGGTGGTAGGTTCATGGGTGCACACATGTCAAAACTTATCAAATTGTATACTTAAAAATTATGCAGTGTATTGTATGTAAATTATATGCAATAAAGCTGTCTTTAGAAATTCTGTGGAATCCTGTTGTCACTAGTAATCTCTAATTTTGTGTTAGATTATAAATTTTTTCTCCAGTCTCCGATAAAGAAATGGAAAAGAAAATGCTTCATTCAGGAAACAGTGTTGTGTCGTATGTATGGGACCTTATGGCTTTATACCTTACCTTATGAGAAGCGGGGAACGGAATCCCTGCCCACCCCAAACCCTCAGCCTTCCCATTGCCACTGGAGGTAAAAAAACAAAAAACAAACAACAGCAAAACCAAAAATCAGAAAGCAAAAAAACCAAATCAAAGGGCCAAAAAAACAGGTGACAGCAAAACTCAAAACTGGGAACAGATGATTGCTTGAACCTTTTGTTTTTGCAGCCTCAAGTGTCTCGGTTGGATATCGAGGTAAAGAATGAAAATGTTAAGCCATCTTTCAGTCACATTTGGTAACTGGTGTCAGGAATACTGTATTACAGAAAAGAAAAGCTTCCACAAGCAGAAATGCTAAAATCTAGGATAGTAAGGTGTCACCTCGCAAGTCAGGCAAGACTTTGACAGTAAAACAAAACTGGACACGGAATTTGATGAGAAATTCAAAACCTGCGTCAGTTTCACAGAAAATTCAGAAGATAAAAGAGTTTTATTCACAGCCTAGGTAAAGTTCAGAAATTTATATTGCAGTTTGGCGGTTATGCTGATCCTGTGTTTGGATGGGGTCACAATAGCAGGGAAGGCCGAGGTTTCCTACAGAAGCTCCTTTGTGGCAAATCACTATGAGACGAAACTCCGTCGAAGTAACCAATTGTTCATTTCATTTCTACTGTGCCACGGAAGCCTGGTTTTGTTTTAAGCGCTAACGTCCTAGGTTTTACGCAATTTTTTCAGCTTTGGCTACCCAGCTAACAAGTAGCAAAACTGTCAACTCTACATCTGATGGGAAAGCTCTAACTCTAAAACTCAATATAGAGGTTTCTTTCTGGGAGACGTCTCCTCAATTCTCCCCTAACTGCGACTCGCATTAACTTCTGCTGGTTCCCAGCTGGAGAGCACAGATTGCACCTGCTCCGAAGCCCAGCGGGTCTCAGCCTCCTACGCAGCTCAACCTCGGCTGCCTGTGCACGGACATCAGGACCCACCAGGGGTCACTGCAGCTTCAGAGCTATTGTGCCCCTCAGTCCTGGACGCGGCCGACCGCGCGGAGGGCGTGGGATTGGGACCGCCGAACGGTGGGGTCCGAGCAGCACCGTGTCTTCTCCCCACCCAGCCTCCAGGTCTCCCGGGGAAACGGACGCAGCGAGCGCTGGTGACCCGTGGCTTGGGGGCAGCGTGCGGCTTTGCAGCGTGGACTTGCCGGCACCTCGCCGCTGGGACCACCTCTGCCCCGCCCTCCGCCCCCAGCTGATACCCCGCCCAGAAGGGGCTCCCCTGCCGCGGCCAGTGCTGGGCAGTGGGGGGTCCGCTTCGTTCCAGGGCATTTTGCAGACGCCTGAGCCAGGCCCATATGCACCTAGGCTGCTCCCGCCCGGGGCACCACCCATCGCGCGGCCAAGAGAACTTTCCCCGGAGCCTCAGCGGCCTGGCGCGCCCAGGGAACACCCCCCGCCCGCCCGCCGCGTTCCCAGCTGGGGCGTCGCTCCTCCGCCCGCTGGTCCCCGCCTCTCCGCTTTGCTGAATGTCCTGAAGAAGCCGCGCTGCGCCGCGCCGCGCCGCCGCCGCAGGCATTCCCGGAGGGAGAGCTTGAACTTGGCTACACAAGGCCACCCGTAATCAGCTCGGGGGTCCCCGGACAGGAGCCACACCCCGCGGCAAGCTGATCTACCCTCGCTGGTCTGGGTAAGGAGCCCGCTGCCCTTTCCCCCCTCTTCCGGCTCCTCAGCGCCCGCGGCTGGGGACGGGGTAGCGGGACGGAGCGACGACCCTCGCCTGTGCCCCTGCGCCCGTGGTCGAGGCGTCGTGGGTGCTCCTGACACAAAAGAAAAGCCCAGCGCTCCTTACTCGGCGGACCTGACCCGGGGCTGCGGGGCGGGGTCCCGGCTGGAAGTGCGCGCCCGCCGGGGACTCCGCAGGCCGATCGGAGGCCGGGACGTCGGGGCCGCGCTCAAATCCGTGCGGTAGGAGGGAGCCGCAGCGCTTCCAGGGGCTTCTAAGGCCGGGGAGGTCCTCGAATTCCCGTCCCTCCCTTTTCTGGTCTCTTGCCCCCACTGCCAGGAGACTTTTGTCGTCCCCAGGACTGCGGGAGGGGCCCCGCGCCCCCGCCTTCGGAGGAGCCAGAGTCTCAGGATGCGCGGGGACGCGCCACCGCCCTCCGCGCCCAGTTCCGCAGGCGCTTCCCCGGCGGCTCCCGGGCGCTGACTCTCCCGGGTTTTTCCGCCCTTCTCGCTGCTGCCCTGCCGGGCGGCCAGGCGGCCAGTCCCTGGACCCGGCCGGGAGCTGCTCCTCTCGCCCTGGCCCCGGCGCGGACAATAAATTAATGCATCGCGCTTGAGTGGAGGGGGCGGCTGGGCGCCTCAGTGGCAGCTTTCTCGCTTGACTGGAGACGGCCACAACCGACATGGGCTGTTTCTGCGCTGTTCCGGAAGAATTTTACTGCGAAGTTTTGCTCCTGGATGAGTCCAAGTTAACCCTTACCACCCAGCAGCAGGGCATCAAGGTGGGTGCGGCCGGGAGTGCGTTCCGGGGGTTGGCGGCAGGGCGGGTGCGGGGGTCCATCGCTTTGTCTGAGGGCTGTCCCCGGTGGGTCGAGGGCGGCGGCCACGGCTCTGCGCGGTGGGGAGGGGAGGCCGCTGTCCTCTGCGCGCAGGGAGAGGGCGGACGTGCCAGGGTGAGTTAACTTTGAGTTTCTTCATAAAGCAAAGTTGAGTTTGACGTTTCAAAGGTTACTTAGCATACCGACTCCCAGCAGCACCCCAAAACTCTTCCCCAAACCGGTTTTCTCCAAAAGCCTCTGGGTCCTCCGCAGCTCTCAAAGAGGGGCAGAATGGGTTATACCGGCTGCTTCCCACCACAGTGTGGAAGGCATGGTTTCCCTCGGCTTTGTTGAAGGCGTTTTCCTTGACAGTGTGATTAGGGAAGTGAACTAGTTCACTCCGTGAAACACACTAATGGGTCATTGTGATTGTTTTGCGTGGGTTTGTAGTTGGGTAATGCTACATTTGGACGGAAAGTATTTTCTCTTTCTAGAGCGACCTGGGTTTATCCTCAGATTTAAGTAAACATCTTTCAAAGCGACCCAGTAATAACTTTGCTCCTGTTTGTGGGTCATTAAAATACAATCACTACATTAACCTAGAGAACCCAAACAAAAAGGCAGCCAAGCTCGCAGAGATCCTCTTCCTTACATTTGATGAGAAGGTACTTGTGTTTGTAGTGGCAACCTGACCTTTGCGCCTGCGTGCTTGTTTTGCTCTTGCAACAATGTTAACTACCTAAACGAGGTGTAAATCCGGAGCGTTTTGTTGTTTTGTTTACCTTTCTCTTTCAGTTTTAAATCACTAAGGCGTTTTAGATAAGGCAGCAGCTGAATCTGACGAAGGGAAACCGCCCCCCGCTCTGATAGAGCTGGCTTTCTGAGAAATCGAGTTCAGGCTGCCAAGTATCCTCTCTTAGTCTCTTCATGTCAGAAGTTAATCATAATGGGGTAGGCCCTGGGCATTTCCTTTTGTGAATCAGTTTTTACATAGTTTTATGCACACTAGGATAACTATTCCTGGCTAAAAGTTTCAGCGTTGGTGTTGCCATTCTTAGTGTACAGAATTCCAATTTCATAGGTGTAATTCTTTTGCAGGAGAAAGGAGCAAAAATAATCAGTTAAAGCTACAGGATTGTTAACCCTTTCCTTTAGGGGGTTGTTTTGAATATTAGTTCCCCAGTAATTATAATGAGCAAAATTCAGTTCTATTCTCAAATAGTATTTCCTTTCAAGACCAATAAAATAGACTCTTTTGGGGGAGGGTGTACCTTTTGTATTTTTAACTTTTCTTTATGTTCCAAAATATTTCTCCTCTCACCTGCCCAATGAAGTCAGGAAAATATTATAACTTACAAGATGATGTAACATTCTTTGGTGTACTGTATGAACAAAATAGGCAAAAATCACAAAAACATTCTAAATTCTAGATAATATATAGATTCTTTATGGTGTTGAGATAGAAACAGTTAGAAAAAGGTAACTGATGATCAGATACCAAGACAACAAGGAAATCTTTTTGAAGTGCAAAGTCTAAATTATCTGGAGTCTAAAGTCATCTGGAATGTGAGCTTCCTATTTAATCATGAAAGTCATGCCTGTCAGCTGTAGAGCATGTACATTATTCTGTCAAGAGAGCAGCCAAGACTTGGGATCAAATGGAATAATTTTGTCAAAGAAACATGAATCAAAAATCCTGATCCATAATTATTTTTTATAATCCAATGGTGCTTATCTTGTTTTACAAATAGGCTGAAAATTGGTGAGTGATTCAAAGGCAACAGCAACTATGTAATACTGTTATTTTGGATATGGGCTATATAACTAAACAATAATTTAAGCAGGCTTTTGTTGGAAATAATCATTTAACAACAGTCTTGGCCTCTGTCCTTGTCACAAAAGCATGCCACAATTATTTTGATGGCCATGTGTGTAACGCAGATGTCTGCTAAAACTAACCACATTATCTTCTATGCTACCTTAAAAGTGTATGTGTTAAACACCTACCTACCCTTGGCATGTACTAAATTAAATATATTTGCATATTTGTAAGTGGTATGTATGAAAAAACATCTTGCATGTAGATGGTATTCAAACATTGGATGAACATGTGTATATTCTGTACTTACTGGACATTTTTAAAAACTTTTTCCTAACCTTCATGTATTACGGTGCATAGGTACAATTGATGTATATTGCATTAATTACATAAAATTAACTCCAACTTTAGTTCGTAAATGAAAAAGTAAACAGTTACTTCAAAGTTAATAGCCAATAGCTACCATTATGGTGTTTTTCCTTGAGATAGTATACTTGGTAATTTTGATTACCACTAATTAAAGTCAAAATTAGGCAACATCAATTAGCCTACTTTTCTCTGAAATTAACTAGAAAAATCTCTATTTTTCAAAAGCATTTCCTAACATTTATTTTGTGATTACTCTTTTTCCTATTCTATCTTAGATGAAGATGGCTAATTTTACATTAAAATTATGCACACATTTCATTTCTTAGTAGAAATAATTTTACTGATTCCTAAATGGTTAGTTGAGAATTTACTTATGTTACTGTTAAAATAATGCACTGTGAATTAGAAAAGATTAATTATAGCAAGTTAAGGTGGAAGAAGTATGAGAGAATCTTGGTAAACATTTTCTCTGTGTGTCATTTTGAAAAACATTCTTTGGATTTGTTTAAGCACCAAATTACAAATAGAAAAGTTAGTTATGAAGTGATTTTTCTACAACTTAGATAAGTTTTTCATCAATGTTAGAAGAAAAATTAATGTGTCACCGTGAAAAGTGTTTCAGCCTGAAGATAACAGTTACTCATCTTATATGGTAAGATGAATATCATTTAAATGGAAAATAATTTTATTTCCATTTAATTTCCATTTAAATGGAAAATAATTTTCTGTTAAAAAAATACCAGAAAAATAAAACACAGTATCTTTGTATCCCTGTTAATGTTACGGGGAGGTATTTGCCTTTTTTACTTGCTTTAGGGACAACCTCACCTTGATAGCAGAAAGTCTTATTCATGCAGTTCACAGTTTGAACCTTATCAGAGATTTACAAACTCAAGTTTATATAAACTGAAAGCTATTGGTTGTGTGTTGAGCCCTACAATAGGTTTTAGCTGTTTGTCTTTTGCTGCTATCTCTGTTGTTTATTCAAGTAAGGATTTCTGCTATGGTTGGTCTCTGTTGTTAGAATAATGTTTGTTCTGGGAAACTTTTGTTGTGTCCTTTCTAGTTCTCTGTGCTGAGGGAGGTAGATAACGTTCTCTTTGTTCTCTTAGCAAAACTTGAATGTGGCTCAGACTACTTTTCTAGGTTTTCATTTGGTTAGCAAAACATTTTCAGGAAAACAAAAGTCACAAGATTTGATTATAAATTTAATTCTCAAAATTGCTGCTACAAATATGAAATAGATTAGTATTTTCATTTTGGCAAGATTTTAGTCCTCTGAGTAGTGTGATGAATGTTTAGGTGCTCATTTTTCCCTATGAGTATTGACTAAACTAATGAAACCAATATGACAGTAATATGAAGATTCCATTAACTTCTTTTAAATGGCTTTGTTAAGGTGTACCATACATTTTGCCCAGTTAAAGTGTATAGTTCATCCATTAACTACTAAATAATGTTACTTCCCAATCATCCTGAGGTTCATGAGGGAATACCGTGAGTTTCCATGCTTTGATCGGAAATTTCCTAATAAGCTAGAAAAACAATCATAAGGCAAGGGCTTAAATTCTGTGCATCTCACTTACCAAAAATTACAATTTTCATTCACTTTGGACTAATGAATAAAATATCTCAGAAGATTGGGAAAAAAATGAAAAGCAATTATGTTAAGTTTATAAGTGAATACTCATATCTTTTGGTATAAAATGAACTATGTATAAATAGCCCCTCAATTTTACAAGAAGTTATTTTTTGAAAAAAAATACCTTTTATCATCCATGACTTGAATGTGATTTAATAACTGTTTAAGGGGGAAAGCATTGTTACCTCCAACAGCTTATGGCTGTCCCTCCCTAGGTGCTTGTGGTATTCTTGGTTGATAGTGAACTACACTTTTTGCAGTCCAGTTACTGTGTGTGTTCTTGAATTCTATATTGGTAAGCTTGAACTACCTTGAACTCCCTGTGGGAGTTTATCCTGTCTCTTGTAGGATACTTAGCAGCATTCCCTGCCTCCTCTTACCAGATATGTGGCACCTCTTTTCCAATAATGACAATCAAAAATGTCCCCCCATGTTGCCAGATGTTCCCTGATGGGTATAATCACCCTCTGTTGAGAACCACTGTCATAGAGGATAGCAACTTCCTTTGTTCTTATGTCTTTGGTGCACAGGTTCAACATTGAATGCAGGGTAACTTTTAGATGCCTTCTATTTTTTCTTTTTCCCCCCTCTCTTTTGGAATGGTGAGTTGTTTACCTCATATTCAGTGAAAACAATATGGTATCTTTATCTTGCTTCATATTCAAGTATCTTTACACTTGCTTCATATCTTTATACACAGAACAGTACCTGCAATGATTAAAAGCATAGGCTCTGAAGTCAGATTACCTAGGTTTAAATTTTGGCACTGCTAATTACTTACTAGCTGTGTCTTTTCTGAGTTTCAGTTTCCCTGTCTATAAAATGAAGAGGAATGATATATAGTATTCACCTTCTACATTCATGCTGTCTTGCATGTGAAAAGCACACAGAAAATTTTAACTTTAATCCACCTTTCCTCTTCTTCTCTTCTTGTTGTAGTAGCTCATTCCTTCCTAGAGATAAAGTCCAAACTTCATTGTTTGACTTAGCACTCTACCTGATCTAGCCCTGCCAGTCCAAGTGACTTGCCCTCTAGG